TCTCTCTCTCTCTCTCTCTCTCTCTCTCTCTCTCTCTCTCTCTCTCTCTCTCATACTGAAATCCAAACAGATACCCTGATGTGCAGGCCCGGGTGCAGGCTGAGTTGGACCAGGTTGTCGGTAGGGATCGCCTGCCCTGCATGGATGACCAGCCCAACCTGCCTTACGTCATGGCTTTTCTTTATGAATCAATGCGCTTCTCCAGCTTCTTGCCTGTCACCATTCCTCACGCCACCACTGCCAACACCTTTGTCTTAGGCTACTACATCCCCAAGAACACGGTGGTTTTTGTTAACCAGTGGTCTGTGAATCATGACCCAGCGAAGTGGCCCGACCCAGAGAACTTCGATCCAACCCGATTCCTGAACAAGGACGGCTTCATCAACAAGGAACTAGCCAACAGTGTGATGATTTTTTCGGTGGGCAAACGGCGGTGCATCGGCGAAGAGCTCTCTAAGATGCTGCTGTTTCTCTTTATCTCCATCCTGGCTCACCAGTGCGACTTCAAGGCTAACCAAAACGAACCCTCAAACATGAGTTTCAATTACGGCCTGACCATTAAGCCCAAGTCATTTAAAATCCACGTGTCTCTCAGAGAGTCCATGGCGCTCCTCGATAGCGCTGTTCAAAAGCTGCAAACTGAGGAGGCGCGCCAGTGAGAAGCCAGAGGTAGCAGAGATGTTACAAGAACATCTGACTCATTACCTGGGGAGAGAAATACGGGGTTTATTCTTTCTTCTTCTTCTTTTTTTTTTCCAGCTCCATTTTTGGTATCACTTCTCTAAGGGAGCAGAGACTTAAGTGGCCTGAAGGTGAGGCATGTTTACCAATTCATGACTCTTCATGAGCTCATGCTGCCCTTCCTGGAAGTATTTTTTGCGTCAAAGAGTAAAAGCGTCTAAGGATTTTTTTTTTTTTTTGCAGTTAAACATACACACACATATCAATAGCCGTGCACAACCACCTAACAAAGTATTTCAGTAATTCTGCCTCGTAGGCGGATTTGAAATGGAACCTCTATGTGCAGAAATTTACGCCTTCAGAACCTACACTAAACAAAGGTTTAGGATAGACTCAAGATTCAAAGACAAGTGATTTCAATGAAAAATTGTGAAGACCAGAAATTCTCCACCAAAAAACAACTTACTTGAGAAAATACTTTAATTCCTTGGTAGTGGCCCTGGCTGAGGTTTGCTTTTTGCCTGAAGATGTTCCTCCTACTTTAGGATGTACCATAAAGTCAGTTACTCAAAAAGAAATTCATAGTTAATTTAATAATTGTAGCAGGTTTCAGAGATTAATTAATTTAAAGGTAAATTGTTTAGGTGGTAATTTTTTTTTTTTTTTACAAGTTAAAGTTGCATGCCATTTGGCTGCTAAAGTGAGCCGTTCCAGCTGGGAGGAGAAAAGAGATTTGCCAGCCCAGCTTACGCTGTCAAACATGGACTGTAACAAACTGGTCTCAGTAGTAAGTCTCATAAATAAAAACAAACAACAAAAAACCCTAATGTCACCAGACAGTATTCAATGCAAATAAATTTGTTACGTAGTAATTCATAGACATCATATGAATATTATTTGATCATAAAAGTATTTGAATAGTATATTTCTTATGTCGTATTATAAACCAAAAAGTATAATCAGTCGAAATCTGCCCAAGTCCAGGGAATAAGCATGACTAAGTCAATCTGCTTTGACATCAGGAAACCAAGTAACAGATTTTTTTTCCTCATTCAAGGTTCAGACAAGGGACAAATCTCAAAACTAAATCAGCAAAATATGTTCTTATCTGGTAATTGTTATAATACAGATGCTTCTTTTGGGATTGGCCCCATTAATTTGTTAAAATTCCAAACTCTTGACATACTTCAATTTTAAATGAGCTTAAAATCCACCTTGATTATATCATTTCAGTTGAAGCTAGAGGAAATATGGTCATTATTTCTTTGAAGGTGAGACACCTAACCTTTGTCTGAGGACAAATGCTGAAAAAAAAAAAGGGCCGTGAAATTTCTAGATGTTCTTTATATTGGGCCATACGATAGGAAACTCATTACAACTGGTTTCTCTTTAAATGTTATTATCATTATTATTGTTACTGTTTTTTAAATTGAGTATTAAGGTCTGTAATTTTGTTTGTTTTGCCTTTGGAGGCTGTTTAGTGATTGCATTGTGAACTGGTAGAGATAGCTAAAATCAATCCTTTTATTTAGGATGGTACACTATGAGTAGTTAATTTTTGGTAGAAAGAAGAAATCTAAGGTTTTGGATTATGTAAACAAGTCCAAAACCCTTCAGGAAGGGCTAGAAGAATGGGAAAGGAGGCCCAGGGCTAGTGGGGGTTCCCATTTCCGTTTTCACTGCAATTAGAGGTAACAAAAGAAGCCTGCAGCTCTCCAGAGAATGTGCTGCTTGCTCGGTTTCCTTGGGCTTTTTGGAATTTTCATATCAAAATGACAAAGGAAGGAGTGTGTGATGTGTGGAGAGGGCCAGAGCTGCAAGACAGAGAAAGAATGAGTACGAGGAAAGATGTGTAAATGACTCCCCATTCGCTCCAAATTAATTCACTGAATATAAAATTTGAAGTATGAACATTGAGGAAAAAAATACGTTTGGAGTGGCAGTCCTTAAATTTCAAAAGTATCTAAAGAATTGCCCTAGCCCTATAAAAAACTATAAAATGAACTATAAAAATGTAATATTTATTCAAAATTGTTCATAACAGAACCCCTTGAATTTGGAAAACAGATTGCATCAATATTTCAAAGGCCTTAATTTCAACTACAAAAATCAGATCTATCAAACATTTTTAAAGATTTTTTTTTTTAGTTATCTTAAAAACATGTGCCTCAGTAGGGCTGGGACAGTGATTTGGGCCCCCGCGGCCTCTTCACTCTGAGAAATTCCTAATGGTGAAAGTCGTCATGTACCAATCTGGACCCCTCATTACGTTAACGAGACCCAGATGTTTGTTTTGTGCATGTAGGTACCGTTTCCATCTAAGGCTCTCAGTGAAAGGGAAAGAGGCAGTGTGTGTGTGTGTGTGTGTGTGTGTGTGTGTGTGTGTGTGTGTAAGAGAGAATGAGAGAGAGAGAGAGAGAGAGAGAGAGAGAGAGAGAGAGAGCGCTTTGTTGAATATACTTAGAACTCAGTGAAAGGAAGGAGGTTGCAAACCAGAAACAAGTAAAAATTACCAAATCTGAAGGCTATCGGGATAGATTCCTGGCTTCATCAGGAAGCCTGATTTTATTTCTGCCACAGACGACTTCATCTGCTGAGCCCCACATAAGTCAGAATGTCCACTTCAGGTCAGTGCAGCAGAAGTGTGTTTTTGTTAAACGCCTCACTTGTGTATTAGAGTTCGGACTTCGTCAGACCATTCCTTCCTGCCCCCCCCCCCCCGCCCCAAAACAAAAGAAGATGCCTTGGGTATGTTTTGTGGATTAATCAACAGAATTCATGCCCCCAGAACTTAGCCTTTACCTGTGAAATGTTACCACACTCTTAATATTTTCACACCTGGGCTGTACTAGATCAAGTCGATACGTCACCATGTATGTTAATTAGTATGTTTTCAGTCGTGACATGATTGTGTGATAATGAGTATATATTACCTGATGACTATAACCCAAGGATAACTTCCTATTTAGCCTCTTCCTGTGTTTTTATACTTTATCGTATATATTCTTAGTGTGTATATAGCTGATACAGTGCACAGTCATAACCAAGACGGATCCTATGCACACAGCATTAACTGATATAGAGCCTTTACTTTTGATGTACTAAAATGTAAAGAGTTCTATTACCAAAACACCATTACCTAAACAATAAAATTCACTTTCATAATTCTGTGAAGTTCCTTTTTATGTTACAGCAAGGTCTAATTGGTCATGTGTTTCTACTCTTATGTGCTCTTGCATTGAAACACTGAGGTGTGTGGTCCTTGCAACCCCTACGTGTGTTACTTCACACCTCTCTGTGGTGTGTGCCTGCCTTCAACTTTGTTATACACCCGTGCGCTACTCCCTAATGTAAAGAAAATGCAGCATAAACATTTTGTTTGATCATTCCACACTTTAGCCTGTTTGATCGTTTATTTTTTCCAATTTATTTTTTATTTAACAATTTTTCAACATCCAGTTTTCTTGAGCAAATCCATGGTCTTTACATTATTGAATTTATAAAGACCAACAAAGAGTTAATTATTCCTGGTGGTCAGCCAAGTAAAGTAAGAATTAACGTGCAAATTTGAACGATTGGCTTGAGGTCTTATCATGCTGACCTAATATTTTTGCTTTATCTGGAAAATGTAGGATATCTTTATCCCCTCTTGGCAGCAAGCTGACCCCTGCTCTGAGCACGCCATCCATTCATTTGGAAGATTTATGTCCCTTGGTTAGTAAGAGAAGCTGATGTCCAGTAAAATAGATTGGATGAAAAAACTTCTACAATGTGCTATGTGGACGTATTTTTCTGCTGTCTAGTTGGTAAGTTACATGTTGTCACAGGACCCACAGCCAGGGCCTCGCTGTTCCTCTCACACAGGGGTAGGGCCATGCAATGCCTGGGGTCCTTATATCTCCTAGACAATTGCTCCTGTTACTGTGAAAACAGGAAGGGAAGCAGAAAAGCCAAAGTGGCACTCTATGTCACCGATGCTTTGGCAGGGAACATCAGTTTAGCAGCCCAGAAGTAACGGGCTTAAGGAATATTCATTTGTTTTCCAGTTATATGCAAAAAAAAAATTCCTGGAAAATGGTCATATCCATTCAGGACAAGGGAAAAAAATGTTTTCTGGGGGAAAAATTAAAATCTCAGTGCGGTCAGGTTTTTTTGTTTGTTTGTTTGTTTGTTTGTTTGGGGGAGTAAGCTCAATTAATCTAATAGAGTCCAGGCTAGGTGCAGGCGGAAACAAAGGCAGCTTTGGGCGTCGTCCAGGTGTGCTCACCAGGGGCTTCTAAAAGTCATCCTGGCACATAAACCCAGTCCACTCCTCCATGTACATGTTCCAGAAACTAACTGGCTTTTAGCTTTCTCTTATTTTAGCTCAGGAACCTGGCTTGCTTCTCTTAATTATCCTCAGAAAAGGAGGAAGGAGAAGGAAAACTAAACATGCTCAGATACAGAAACCGTTCTCAGTTGGCATTTTGGATTACGGCATTTGAGGGAGAAGGAGGTGGTTCAGTATGCAAAGGGCTTGCTATGATGGCATGAAGACTGACTTTGGATCCCAGTCCACACACAAAGGCCGGGTGAGGCCGTGCCCATTGTACCACCTTGGTGCTGGGGGGCAGAGATCGGCATAACTCTGGGGACTCATGGGGCCAGTGCAGCTGGAACGGTGCGCTCCGGTTTCAGTCAGGGACCCTGTCTCAAAAAGTAAGGTGGGGAGGTGATTGAAGACATCCCAGTGTCATCCCCTGACCTCCAAATATGCCCCCCAAATCATACAGGTACTTGCACACGCATGACAAAACGCACGGGAAAGCTGTCTATTTTGGACATCTACGGGCCATCTTGAAGTATCAGCTTGCTTCTCACTCCTGTATTTGCTAAATGGACTGGTGGTCTTTGGAGTAGAACCACCCACAAGTCAGAGAAATTTTACTTTGATGCCGTTGGGTGATAATTGTCTATCAACCAGGCACAGCTGTAGGAATTGAGATAGAACAATGAACCCCAGACCCTGAGCTCATGGAGCCAATATTTTTAGTGGAATGGATGGGTGCGTGGAGGGAAATAGCATTTCAGTTAATTTTGTTATAAAAACAAAGTGTTGGGTGTGTGTGTGTGTGTGTGTGTGTGTGCATGCATGTAGGTGTGGTGTGTGTATAGTGTGTGTGTTTGTGAGTGTGCACGTGTGTGAGTAAGCATTGAGGATGTCAGTTTCTGTCTAAGCGCCCCCCCCATGAAGGAAATTCAGAAAGGGAGTTATCAGACAACACATTAATTACCTCAACACTAACAAAAAGTTTGGTTCCACCCATTAAGTTGATTTCATAGTCACTTAAAATCTGGGCAATTAGAAATAAAACAGTCAGATCGCACCCTATGACAGATGTTGTAGGCAAGTCTTTAAGCTGCCAACTTCTGCTTTTGCCAAATAGCATTGGTGTGGTCCAGACCATTCCCTGACATCAGTTCACTGGTTCGTTCTAGAAATGAAGAACCAGACAGCAGGCTTTTGGAGCTAACGTACTTTTCAACAATACCTTTAAAATACAAGTTACAGTGGATTTTAATGGTGCATGCCTGTAATCCTAGCACTCAGAAGTAGAGGCATGAATTTGAGGCCATTCTCCCACTCACAGTGAGTTTGAGGGTTACCTGGGATGCATGAGACCCTCTCTCAGGAACAAAAATAGAATAAAAACAAAAAGTATGTTCCAATGATCTGTGGAATCCTTTAATGTGGCGTGTACTGAATGTCTCCACACTGATTCTGTGTGTCCCAAGAGTTCCTCTGGTCTTCTTCATACTGTGTCATATAAACACACTTTTATTATATATGATTGAAAAGATAGTCACCAATTCCCATAGAGTTGGGTCTCCTGGAGAGAAACTGAATGGGGGACCACACACCCTCTGCTGGTGAGCAGTCTGTGGATGGGGGAATCACACATCTTCCGCTGGTGAGCAGCCTGTGGGGGATCACATACCCTCTGGTGAGCAGCCTGTAGATGGGGGGTGGGGGTCACACATCTGTGGTGAGCAGCCTGTGTTGGGCCTTCTCCTCAGGCATTGCTTTATTGTTTGCCCACACAGTCTTTGGGCACCAGGTATCAGGTTACATCCACTTCAGAGAAGCCTCAGGGAAATCTGTGCTGATAAAGCCCTCTCTTTCTGCCTCCTTCCATTCTGTTCTCTTGATTCATATTTCACCGCTGTCCTCACGCAGTCAGGCTAAAGGGCCATCTTCGTTCTCTTCCCATCTCAGGCCTCATCATTTTAATTTCCTCAGTGTCCACAGGCCCGCAGCAAATCCAGCTGCTCTCAGTTTGGCCTTGACACTGGAAGAGGTGGGAGAAAGGGGTTGGTATTTCACTGTGTTTTGCTGTGTTGCTTCCAGGAACCAGTTACTATAGAAACAAGGTGAGCCCATTTGTCCCCTCTTCCAAGCTCTTTCAAATCCCCAACCTTGTTCTGCTGTATCTCTGTCTCCGGCATGTATCTCGAGACAGCATAAAGGTAACATAATTTAGTCTGGGTTTGTTGTCTATCTCTAGTTCCATCCCACTTCTCAGATGTAGATCTGTGTATCCGGTGCACCACTAGAACAGAGCTGGGAAAAACAGGTGGGATCACCAGAGTCTTTATGATCACTCTTCCAATCCTTCTCCTGACAGGATGAGAACCGCCATCTTGGGAGGGATGTCTCAAGATGGCTTCTTCTTCTTCCTTTTTCTTTTTTTTACAGTAAATTTTATTAAATTATAAAAGTTTCCATTTCCGCCCCTCTTCCCAACACCCTCCCACTCCCCCCACTCCCTCCACTCCCTCTCCTCCTCCCTCTTCGTCCCTTAGGGCAGTCAGGGTTTCCTGCCCTGTGGGAAGTTCAAGTTCCTCCCGCCTCCCTCCAGGTCCAGGAAGGTGAGTATCCAAACAGACTGGATCCCCAAAATCCAGTATATGCAGAGAAAACAGGTCCCAGTATCATAGTCAATGGCTTTTCAGAAAGACTTCGGGCCAGCCACATTCAGAGAATCCGGCCAAATTCCGAGAATCTGGTTAGATCACGTCCTCGTTCAGTCCCAGTCCAACTGGCCTTGGTAAACTCTCATTAGATCCGTTCCCTTGTATCAGTGGGTGATAGCATCCCTCGCAGTACTGATTTCGTTTTTCATGTTCTTCCTCCTTCTGCTCCTCATTTGGACCTCGGGGGGCTCAGTCCGGTGCTCCAATGTGGGTCTCCGACTGTATCGCCGTCCTTCGCCAGATGAAGACTCTATGGTGATAAGCAAAATATACATCAGTATGGTTATGGGCCACGGCCGATTCAGGCACCCTCTCCTCTGTCCAGAGAACAATCTGGGGGATCTCTCCTTGGACCTGGGATCCCATATATAATCAAGTCTCCTGTAAACCCTAAAATGACTCCCTTAGTTGAAATATATTCTTCCCTGATCCCATATTCATCCTTCCTCCCTCCCCCCCCATGCACCCGAGGTTACCTGGGACTCTTGTCTATTTCCTACCTCCTGGTGGATAGCTAAATAATCTTCATCAGGTTCATCTTCTTATTTAGCTTCTCTAGGATCACGAATAATAGGCTCAAAGACCTTTAATTATGGTTAGAATCCACTTATGAGTGAATACATACCGTGTTCCTCTTTTTGGGTCTGGCTTACCTCACTCAGTAAAGCGTTTTCTATTTCCATCCATTTGCATGCAAAATTCAAGATCTCATTGTTTCTCCCAAGACTAAGCATGAAGCCTTGACCTAAAGGTGTGTGGGAGGATGATGAGCAGTTGAGTGTAGTTTCTCATCTACTTGGGATTCTCCACCCTGGGTTTCTCCACCCCTTCCCCTATTCCATCTGGTTGACTCATCTTGACCTGGCCTTCACCTACAGGCAGACAAGTCAACACCCCCACGGGAAAATAGACTCAAGCTCAAAGAACAAAGCATGGGAGAAGCATAGGTATGTTGAAATTGAATTTGCAAGAGCTAAGGTCTCTCAAATACTGCCATCACAAGGGGAACATTTTCCCGAGTCGTTCCTCTGATATGGCGACTCCACTGGCTCCCAGCCATCTTAAATAACATCAGGGGTCAACAAACTACAGCCCATGAAGTAAGTCTGATCTACCACCTGTGTTTATACAGCTTGTGAGCTGGGAGCAGC